GACCTACTTACCACTGGCTATCGTGCAGGTCACGGGTTCAACTCCAGGGAACTGTGCAGATACTGTACACAGGTAAGCTGAGGTCAAGGGATCGACCCCTGGGATCTGCATCGGCTACTGCCAAAGGTGAAAACTGTTTCACATGTTCTAGCTGAAGATTCATTCTCTTTTCTCACAGTTGGTGCCTCTTCTGACGGATTCGGGCGACAGGTAAGTCATTCTGATTTTCTTCCTTTACGTTCTTTTCATTTTATCATTAGCAAAAAACTCCAGGAAAAAGGGCTGTCAGTTCCGTCGTTTCCTACTCCAGGAAAAAAGTGAACGTTTTGACTCTTTTGACAGATCGCGACCCTCGTCATGACTGAATCTGGCCTGCAAGAACCCTACCATACAGACTGCAAGAACCCTACCATACACAGTGTTACACGGACTACAGGTTTTACTAAATTTAAAGCTTTCCGGCCAACGCGCGGCCTCCAAAAAAAATTTGGGTGCCCGTTTCTTATTTTACGCGAGCAGGGGGCCGGGTCTACTACCGCCCCTCAACAACGTTTTTTTTTTTTTTCGACCCCCATTTTTAGAGGTGCGCCGCATGCAGTGCGCGCGCATAGTGCGTGATGCATGGTGCGGCGCATGTGCACGGTGCAGCGCATCGCGATGCACCGCATGTATGATACAGCCCCTCGTTTGTTGTCCTCTTCTCCCTCTCTGCCTACGGTTTACCGGGCAGTTCTATTTGACGATATATACAAACTCCTACGAAACAGTTTGTCACAGCCCCTCTTTGTTGTACTCTTCTCCCCCTCTGCCTACGGTTTACCGGGCAGCTCTGTTTGACAATATGTACATAATATGGGTCATATGGAAAACCAGATGCGAGGGAACTCTAGGGAACCAAAGAATAACAAGCGACGAGGAATGGAGGGAGACAAAGTAAATAGCAGAAACAGAAATTAGATCACAAAGGGAAATAGAACTCAGGAAACAAGAAAGATTAACGGATCCTTAAAAGAGAGAGCTGAGTCAAAAAGCGTTCGAAGAAAAATGGTTACTAAGTAAGAAAATAGCAGAAAAATATAAAAGACAGACACCTGAAGTTCTGTAAGCGGGACACAGAGCAACAGGACACGGAGGAACGACAGGAAGAGACTTCACACGAGGCCGAAGAATATACTAAGGATCCAAGAAGGTCGCACGAAAACAAGAAATTAAGAACTGCTATCTAAAAACCAACAGTCCAAGCCAGGAAAAGAAACCAACTTTCGGGAACAGAAAACGCAAAGAAAAGAAAACAGTTAGTACGAGAAATCGGACCCCTTAATTAAGAGCAAACAGAAAATTAATTAGAGTTTAACCTAAGGCAAGGACCCCACAGGACCGCGGAAAGGAAAAACTTCGCCGCAAAACTATTTCCAGGACCCCACAGCCTGCTCCAAACGTCCTGGAAAAGATGAAATTTCTTCCGCAAACCCTTTTCCAGGACTCCACAGACCAAAGATTGCGGCTTGGAAAAACATCGTTTTGTGTTTTCACATAGTCCGCGGCCTGGAAAAGTCTCACGGGAGGATTCCTCGTCGAAATTTTGTGCCGACTCTAGAGGGTAGGGGGGAGGGCATGTCTTTCCTGGAAAAGTCTCACGGGAGGCAGCAGCCAATAGCGATGAAGAGTGCCACCAAAAAAAAAAAAAAAAAAAAAAAAAAGGAAGAAAAGAACAAAACAAACGAGTGCCAACGGAAACAGGCAACGATTGGCTCAACTGATTTCCAAAGGGTTTTCCAACCGCATTTGGTCCTCTGAGATGGGGTCCCAGAAAAAGTACTTTCCGGCTTTCCAAAATGACTTGCCCGCTTTTCATGGGCAAACGTCTTTTCCATCCGCACTGCAGTCGGGTCCTTGCCCAAGCTAGAACCAGACCCATACAGGTAGAACCCATTCGAGAGTATAAGGTGTTAAGCCGAACAGACACAACGTCAGGCTCCAAAGGATAAGAATAGATTAAAAAATATATATAATAATAATAATAGAAGGGGAAAAGGACAGCTTGGCACAATAAATAAGGACAGACCCACCCCCAAAAATTGTAGAATGCACACCAACACTACCAAACCACCCATCATCTACTCTATCCCAGTCATCACCGATATTAAACCAACCTCAAAACATCCATTGGCGAGAACCACCACCATAGCAGTAACCTCCTCTTCACCTCCCCCTCCACACATTTCCTTCCACTTCCCCCCCCATCCCCCAAACATCCGAGAAAACACATACTAACTCACACATCCCCCCTCCCCTTCCCACTCCCACGCATCGCAGCTATTCTACAACCACCACCGATCCAAAATTCCCAACCCTACCGACACCCCTCCCATTACCCCAGCCCCAAACGGAGAGTATGCCGCAGAATTCAAGCAGATTCCCCTTCAACAGAAGACACAATCAGGAAACAACCCTCGGGAAAAGTCTATCATGAGGGGGTAACCAAGCTAGGGTTTAGGGTTTAGGGTTTAGGGTTTTAGCTTCAAGCGACACTTCCAAGTAAAACTGCTCCCAAAGAGTCCGGAAGTAGAGTGAAGGGGTCCGACACACCCACTGTCCCAGAAAAACACAGACATGTCACAGGTCCAATCGACAGAGAGGAACAGACAGAAAAGAGACATGACATTTCCAGTAAAGTCAAGCAGCAGCTACTAGAACAGGCTAACTTAGGCAGAGGTGAAGATCGGGACATACTACATCCTCCTTCAAGGAAGTAATCAATGCCGTCTTCTGGGCCTCCACGCCATAAGCGGGAGGAGCGTGAGTGAGTAACCATTGTACTATCTTTGACTTGCCGGGGGAATAGGAACCGGACTGATGCTCCCCAGAATAAATAAATAAATAAATAAATAAATAAATAAATAAATAAATAAATAATAATAATAATAATAATAATAATAATAGGGCTCAGCATCCTGATGAGTACTAGGTGGAACTCTAACGAAAGTCTGTCACAGCCCCTCCCTCGTTTGTTGTCCTCTTCTCCCTCTCTGCCTACGGTTCACCGGGTGGTTCGGTTTTATATGTATGTCATCAAACAGAACTGCCCATGAAGCGTAGGCAGAGAGAGAGAGAGGAGGACAACAAACGAGGGGCTGTGACAGAATGCTCATTTATATTCTACATTTATTTATTTCTTTTATAATGATCCATCATTCATCTTTTTTGAGGCAAGTACGAACTAAGACGTTGAAAGTTCACGTGCTGCTCCCCACGAATAGATTGGAGCTGTTCCCATAAAAAAAAAAAAAAAGACGTTGAAAGTTCGCGTCTCCAACTTCGTTACGTCAGAACAGAGCTCCAAATGGGCGAAGAAAACATGGGTGGGCAAAGAAAACAGCCGCCCAGTTTGGAAAGGCAATGGAAGTACTGCAGCCGTGACAGAGACGTAGGTGTCATCACTACAGGGGTGCGCCGTGGTGTCCAACGGGAAAGGGGAAGGGAAAAATGAAAATGGCCAACATATCTATTTCGTCCGTGCATGCCCATCTGTTATGAACATGATTGTTTGTTGAAATTTTATCAACACTCACTCTCAGGAACTCACGTACACGCCCATACATGCAGAGAAGGAAGGGGAGAGGTAGTGGAGTATCACACCGCCCACAGAAAGAAACGCAGCGGAAGACTCAGAGGAGCGAAGTGACAGAACACACAAACTGAGAATTCTCTCCACACAGATCCCAACAATCATTCATAGAAGACAACCGAGTGATCACAGCCAGAAACCAATGAAGAGTTGCGCTACCCCCAGAGAGGTAGCGCCTCAACCCCAACACCCTGGACAACTAAAAATAGCACCGAAACCCCAGGTAACACCCAGGGCCACCCTGACATCCAACTCTGAGTCAGTGGCCTGCGCCAAAGTGAAACAGGCTCCCAGGGCTAATCGCCACCCAGATGATGAAGAAGAAGCTCAGCGCCAACTGTCCCTGATGAAGATGAAGTCCAGACGATAATATCTCTAAGAAGATGCAGCTATGGCTGCATCGCCACTGGGACCCTACTCCTGAGGAGGGTCAGCAGTGCACCACGTGCTCCAACGCATCAGACCTCTGATAGCCCAGACCACTTTGACTCCCAGAGAGTAAGAGCGGACAGTGTTGACCCCAGTCTGGTCAGCGCTCCGAAGGTCTGGCTATGTCCACTGTCTCCACCACCGGAATCAGCAACCACGACCTGATACCATGTGCGCAGCAACTTCCACCACGAAGTGTCAACTGCCAAAAGCCCAGGACCGATGTCCCCATCCTATCTATACTCTACGACTAGCCTAGACCGACCTAGACCGGACCGACTGACCGACCGGTACCGTTTCTGTTTCGGCCTCTAGGGCCTCTCCCTACCCGGCTATAGGCTATAGGACCGTCTATCAGCGTAGGCCCATAGGGCCTGTCTGTCCTAGGGGTAGCCCGGGTCCGCTATTCGCAGTTAGGGTAGCTGTAGGRAAATCGAGYTAGTACTGGGCCCATATTTCTATATTTACAGATATGTCCCTCACGAATTTTCCATACAGGCAGGTCTCTCGGTTAGTCCTCAGCCAAACAAAATTACGAATCTGTCCCTACCTAGAGTACAGCCTCGTCAGAGATAGGCTACAGGCAACCTGGAACCAGCAAGTCATTGCACATCCGAGTTTGGCAGCTGTTTGTTTCGCCCGCACGCGTTCTTTCTGCCCATTCAATTTTGAGTTTGAAACCTGCCACGTCCGCACTTGTTTCTTTGTTTTTGTTTTGTGTGTGTCATCATAGAGTACCCATCATTTGTCATAGTTGTACCCGCGTTGGTAGACTGAACTTTGCTTGCCAGATTGAACAGGTTGATTTGGTTTTGTTGATTTGGGTTGATTCACTTGATTGGATGCCTTTTGGTTCCAAGGACCGGTTGATTCTTTTTTTTTTCTCACTTGATGTGGAGATGTCTGAGTTGCACTTACCACCATGGATTTGGTTTTGTTCCAGGGCCAAGGAGAGGAGGATCATCAAAACAGAGTAACTGAGGAATTCAATAATTGCGACGATTGGTTCAAAGCGCATGTATATTTGTCTCAAGATGGAGGAGGAGGAGGAGAGGGGAGGTGTTCGTCAGGTGGAGCACAATTGGATGGATTTTTCTCCGCTCATATACATCCATCGAAATGCAGCTCTCATGAGTCTCAGAACTTTCTGACTGCAAAAGAGGCAGTTGCTGCCCTTCCATCAAGTGCGAAGTTCCGTCATGCAACGTGGTGCCAGGGAGCCACAGCAGCAATGCTGAGGACAAATGCAAGCTGCTGTCCAGCTGTGGATTTGACATCCCCATCCGGAATAGGGTCTTCAAACCATGTTGGTGCCAGATCTGGCCTGGCAAGCAAGTCCATCACCTCCCCGATGCAATGCTGTGCTAGGGAGGCAGAAAGGTGTAACCGTCATGGTCAACATGGAGAAAGAGAGGGAACACCGTGGGCATGGCGGGGGCGAGGGGGCTCTGAATCCCGCTGGGGGTCGTTTGACGGTATGGCTTGTGTGCTTGGTGACACAGATTTTGGAGCTGGTTTCTGCGATTCTGGACTCTCGGTACCTCCTAGTACGCCTGCTGCACTCTTGGTTTCGGCCAATATCACGATGTGTACTGCTTCCTACGCCTGGTGCACAATGATGCAGAAAATGTATGAACATTGTTCTGCTGCAGATGATGATGACAATGGCAGTGCCAGTAGTTGCAGTGCAGGGGGTGCTGTCACCGGCAAATGGTCAGATCCTCTTGTAGCAGAGGAACATGGACAAGTGCTGTTCCGAATGGCCACCAGATTAAATTTTGAACCCGTGACTTCTGGCGTGACAGACCAGCACAGTGACTCCAAAAGTGGTAGAGGTCATGTTTCATCCAACCTCTTACTGGAAGGAACCGTGCCGGGATTTGAACCCGTGACTTGTGGCAGGCTTCTGGTTGCCACGTGTGAGAGACGGGACTGCAGCAGCAACGCTGAACAGCAAAACTGCTGCTGCACTGTGGTGTCAAGAACGCGTGCCAACATCCAAGTTGCTTCCCCCAGGTATAGAGAAAGAGTACTTTTTGAGCTCTCAGATCCGTTCGCCCGCTTCCGCGCCCACAGGTCACAGTTTCCACTGTTTGCTTTCACTATCCCTGATTCTGCTAACTGCTCATCTGCCTGGATCACCACCTCGCAAGGGGTGCTGTACAGGTTGCGGGCAACGCAAGTTATAATTGTGCTTCTGGGGTTCATCTTCTTGATGGCGTTCCTCACGTCTCTGGCCAACGAATGCCAACAGCAGCGTCGTGATAGTCAGCCCTACCGCGTCGAGCTGCCCGATCTGGGATGTACTTGGAGGATGGTTAATTGGATTGTTCAGCTCACTGATGATGAAGGGGAACCTTACAGCTATCTTCATTACCTTGCTGAGAACCATGATCTCTTTGGCCTTTGCTACGGTGACTTCCACCGTGTGTCTCGCCCCCTGCGGCTGGCCATGCTCTTCACGACTCTCGCGTTCTTCTATTCGTTGGCAACTCTCTACGCTTCCATGGATCACATCCAACGCGTCTGCAAACCCATTACCAATCTTAAGGTGTCAGATTTGAGTCGACCACTGTTCGGCAGCAGCCGGTTCTACTACAGCTACAAGTCGATTGCCATCGTCCTTTCCTTGAAAATTATATTTGGTGCAGGAATGAGGCGGTGGGCGAGAGCTAGCCAAGCAGGTTCCTATCGGTTCAAACAGTTGTTCCGCTGGTCCTGCGTCCTCATATACCTGGGCCTAATGACAGGGACTGTGGTGTTTCAAGCCATGCTCAGCAAAGATCTCAGCTGGGCAGTTCGCTGGCAGGCGTATCTCATAGTTTTCCTCTGCACGCAGCTCTTTACGTGGTTCCTGTGGGACAACCTCCTGACCTCGGTGTTTTGGGTGATTGGAAGGTGGCAGTTCGACCAGGCGTTGGCAAAGTATCAGCGGAACCTTGACGAGCAGACAAATGCATCCACTAGGCTAAGGTCGCAGAGTGATGCTCCGAGACGCTCAGCTTGGTCCAATTTCAGGGACAGAGCGTTGTCACGCATGGCACGGAGCAATCCAATATATGTCTGATTAATATTGAGTGGAGCGGATGCGCTCCCAGGATGCTCAGCTTGGCCCAATTTCAGAGACTGAGATTTGTCACGCATGGCACAGAGCAATCCAATGTATGTCTGATTACTGATTCACAAATGCAGTTTGCCTTCTTAGTTTACTCTTTTTTCAATACTGTTATGTATGTATACCTGTTGTTGTTGAACAGCTGTCACGGTGGGCTCTGGCAGCCACATTCACTCATTTCCTACAGATTCCTTAGAAGGTTTCACCTTCTACACTCCACAGACTGCCCTGTGGATTCATTTTCATCATCAGCTGAAATGAGCTCTGCTGTCTTCTTTGCTTGCTCGCAACATCACATGTAAACCAAGTGAGAGAGTAAAGCCAAAAGCAACTGCTCTCAAATCCTTATTAGCAAGAATTTATTTACATCCATGGAAGCTTGGGCTGCCAGCGCCAGTTCATACCCACACTCAGCATTCGACACTCAACACGAAGTTCCACTCTATCTCTCGCTGGTATATACAACGGAAAGCAATCCTCTCCCATTCTCACTCTCCCTACCTCTCTCTCCCACTTCTCACTCTAGCAACTAGGATCTACCTGAATATCCTACCAGCTATGGCTGCCATGCACCTATCTCCTTCCAGCCCACTTCCACCTTTGGGCGTTCTGCAGACCTCCACGCCGGAAGAGCAGTCACGTACAGCACAAGTCACCGGGGCAGCGTTCCACTGATCGCGAATGAATGAGCTGTTGGACTAACCTTGAGTGCTGAATATATATTTGTGGTTGGACCCCAATTGCCTCTTGGCCTTGCTCTGGAATGTTCTGCGACTGCTCAACTTCATTGGCCCTGGGCCCAAGTTCTGGAAATTTCCGCTGCAAGTGGTCCGAATTGCATTTGCTCAGACTCCAGAAAATTCTGCTAACTCGTCAAGTGGACGCGAAATCATCCGGACAGTCGCTGGCCTGTGGTGGACTGCCCCCCCCCAGAAGCGTCTTGAATTGTTGCTACTATTTTTATTTTTGGTCTGCGACTGAGTACGGATCCGGGCCTCCCGGCCGACCGGCGCCTGCCCGGGGGAGGTCCCGGGCGGCCTGGCCGGGCGGGCGGCCCGGTTGGGGGCCGGGCCCCCCCAGCACACTCACCTGTAGGGGGGTTTCAGACCCCGAATGGACTTGTTTCTGCGTTGCCAGGGCCTACCGGGTCCGACCACGCCCAGAAAACGGCGCGTCGGGCCCGTGAGGCCTGCTTTTTATTTTTGAATTTTGGAAGGCCCTCCGGCCGTCGATCATCCATGATCGACGGCCAGAGGGCCGTTCGTTTTTGGAGGGAAACAGGACTCCCCGTTTGAACAAGCGAGTGGCTTCGGCGGTCTGCACTGGGTCTCCAAACGGGGCCCCTGCTCCAGCCGCCGCATTTCGACCACACGGAGTCCGTCGTCCAAGCAGCTGCCTGTCGTCGAAGCAGCTGCCCGTCGTCGCCATCGCCCAGGACAGCAGTCGCCCGTCGCCCGTCGCCCGTCGTCGAAGCTGCTGCCTGCCGTCGCCATCGGCTGGGACTGCCGTCGCCCGTCGTCGAAGCTGCTGCCTGCACTGCCGCCGTCATCGAGGGCTGCCAGTCTCTTCTTCTTCTTCTTCTTCTTCTTCTTCTTCTTCTTCTTCTTCCCTCCTTTTCCTCCTCTTATTCTTCTGCTTCTTCTTCTCTCCTCCTCGTCCTCCCTGCATGGGTCTTCGGGACCATCTCACGCAAGTGTGTACATGTCATGCATCACTCTCACACACAATGATCAATAGTCTCCATTCATAGACAAAGGTAGATGAGAAGAGGACCGAGTTCCACAGCTTATATTATCAGAAATATGAATACAAAGTGTTTCAAAGTTCTCCTGAGTCCAGCGCTCATCAGCGCAACACCAATCTCTCGTCAACTCATCAGTATGGCTTCCAGTGAATCAGCGCTACTCCTGCAGATAGTCTCCAAATCATCAATGTGGTCACTACTCATCAGCGCCACCTCTGCAGGTCACACCCAACTCAGGTAAGTATCTTCCATAGCCGAATCTTGAATGARCACTCTCAGCCTTAGTCCCTTCCTCCTACGATGCATACACACTCTTCACTCATAAGGATCTACTCTGGATRCTACTCATAGCTACATACTAACCCTCTACTACTAATRCTAACTCGYTGGGCAGCTATGGCTGCATCACTTCCAGCGTGCAGGCTTCTTCCTCCACTCAGCGCATCTTCTACCTCCAGCGCTGCTCCTCCTGACTCAGCGCACAAGTGCACCAGCACTTCCACGCATAGCAGCCAATGGAGATCTGGCGAGGAATGAGGCTGGCAGATTTCTTTATAGTGCTGGCCACTCCTCGCTGGGTCTGCATTGGCTCAATTCAGCCTATTTTTTGTCCCAGACCCTGCATTGCATGTGTCCCAGTGTAGTCCCAATGAGGTTCGACTGCTGTTGAGGCCTCTCGGCCTAGATTTGGACTTCAAAGTTTGGATCTGGACTGACCCCTTGACTTGACCAGAACTGGGACTGTGCCTATTGCCTTTACTTTTGGACAGGCAGAACTCTAAACGAACAGACACATTTACTGCCTGAACAGACACTTTCCTTTGCACGAACAGGTACACTATCTGCACGTACAGACACACTCTTACCCGAACAGACATAACATACACAGCTCCTGGTGAACAGGTAAGTCTTTTGACAATGCCCTTTGCCTTAGATTTAGAGGTGCCTGTTGATAGAGAACTTGACCTTTGACCTGCTTTCACGTTTCTGAGCCCTGGCGAGATACCTTTTCACAATGCTTTACTTTTTCAAGGCCCGTGCTGTTTTATTTTTACAAGGCCTGAGGCCTATATCAGGTAAAGGCCCTTTTACTCTCGCCGGCCTAAATTCGAAGTTCTCTGAGAATCATTTACCTATCAAGGATATGAATCCCTCTCTTTGCRMTTTCGTATGCAGACACAATATGAGGTGCAGAATCTAACAGTTCTTCCCTTGTAAACCAGCGATCTTCACTAGGATCCTGGTATGCAAACCTCACTTTATACTGTCGCTGTGGTCTGCCCCTACGTCCAGTGTGGTAAGTACTTTCTGCAACAATTTTATCTACGTCATATTTCCCATCCATACTTGGAGGTATCGCTGAGCGGCGACTTGGGAAGAGCTCATTCGTTAGACAAGGTAAGAGCTTGGACGCATGGAACACTGGATATGTACGTAGATGAGGAGGAATCTCAATGACATACGAGGGCCCATCCACATCTCCAATTACGTCTAGAACCTGCCAAGGTCCTCTGTAGGCGGGAAAAAAGCTTTTGAGAGATGTTCTTTTCAGGAGCAAACTCTTTAGATTTCACCCAAACCAAATCTCCTACAACAAATTGAGACGGGCGCCTATGCTTATTTGCTTGTTCAATCATCTGATGCTGGGCTTTAAGTATGTTTTCTTTTACCTTCTCAATGTCTTTTTGATATTGGACTGCAAATTCACTAGTTCTTAGAGGAAGCTTATGGACTTGATCCGGGTTCAACCGATCAATGGGTCTGCGTGGACGCCATCCCAGATGTAACTCCATAGGAGTCTTACATGTAGATAGATGTACAGAGTTATTATAGGCACTGGCAACTTTAGGCAGATGTTCATCCCAGTCAATCTGATCGGGACGAATGTACATGCGCAAAGTTTGCTGCAATATCTTATTCATCTGCTCAGTCTGACCATTAGTCTCAGGATGCCTACCTGAGGACATTGTCAACTTAGAGCATGCGCAAAGTTTGCTGCAATATGTTTTTGTAGCCTTGCCTATCAGTTGTTGCCATTGTTCACTTGTGAACCTAGTATCTTTGTCACTTACTATAGTCAAGGTATGTCCAAAGTCTTTCACCCAATGGTTAAAGAATTCCCGAATTACCAATTCAGTCTTGGCTTCTGAAGGCAAGGCTACAAAAACAGCATACTTAGTGAATCTATCCACTATGACCATTACTTGCGTTTTCCCATTTCTACTCTTCACCTTAGTATCCATGAAATCTATAGAGACAGAGTCTCCAGGGCCGGTAGGGATAGGCAAGCTTAAGTAGCCCGAGGGGCGATTGCGTGGTGCTTTTGTTTCGTTGGCACACTTGGCAACCCTGCACATACGCGATACAGTCCGCTTTCATTCGAGGCCAGGTGTAGGAACGCAATAAAGTCCCATAGGTCTTCTTCCACCCGAAATGGCCTTTTGTATCATGGCATTCCCCCAAGATCATACTCTTGATCTCTTCATTATTGGGTATACACAGCCTATCATGTACATCAATTCGTTCAAACAATAGACCCTGAGTTACTTTATGATCGGGAAACTCTGCTGGCTTTTCTTGCACTAGTTTAATTATGGTTCCATAAACAGGATCAGAGGGATACGCATTTCTAATATTTTCTTGTAGGTCTGCACCTACATCTAGATAAGTCACAATAGCACCGAAAAACTCCTATCTACGACTTAGTGCATCAGCAACAATGTTATACTTACCCTTGACTGGCTTCAACTCAAAGTCAAACATATCAATCTCTGCAGCCCACCTTGTTAACTTCGGTGTCATTCGAGCTTGCGTTTTGAGCCAGCGAAGTGTTTCATGGTCAGAGTATACTTTAAAATGCCTTCCTAGAAGGTAGTGTCGCCAATGATTGAGAGCCTCACGCAAAACATACAATTCTCGTTCGTACGTTGAAGCGGCCACCTTCTTGTTAGGCAACCGGCAAGACATAAACTCCACAGGCCTGTATCCATGCCCATCGTCTTGCTGGAGTACAGCACCTATACCATATTGACTAGCGTCGGCCGTGACCACGAAAGGTAAGGAAGGGTCCGCCACTTTGAGAACCAGATAATTAATCAAACACTTTTTCAGACGCTTGAAGGACATCGTGCAGTCTGAATCTCACTTCCAAATTACTTCTTTCTTAAGCAATCGGTGAAGGGGAGCAGCTATTATCGTCAAGTGTCTTACGAACTTTCGGTAGTAATTGGCTAACCCAAGGAACGACCGCAACTCAGTCAAGGTGCGGGGGTTCGGCCAATCTCTAATTGCTGCTATCTTGGCATCTTCCGGTTTGACCCCATCTCCATCAATCACATGTCCTAGGTATAGCACCTAACGCTTAGCCCATTCACACTTCTTTGGGTTTAACTTGAGTTTTGTTTCTCTCAATTTATTTAGCACAAGTCGAAGGTGCTCAGCATGCTCCTTTTCATTTTTGCTGAAAATCAAAATATCGTCTAAATAAATCACAACAAATTTATCGAGCCATTCACGAAAGAGTTTGTTCATCGTTCTTTGGAAAGTGGCAAGGGCATTTGTGAGACCAAAGGGCAAAACTACGAACTCAT